TTATGGGTGAAGCTCTGCGCAAAGGCCCTGGTTCAGTCCTCATCACAAAAAAGAAAAGAAAAGAAAAGATTCAAATCTGCTCATGTCATCCACCCCCAACCCTGCCGCAGCCCAATCAGGCCTGGCAGTGGCTCTTCCTTGCCTTTGAGATAACACGATGCGCCTTTCATTCGTTCATGAGCAGATGCTAGTTGAGCCCTGACTGCGCCCAGCATGGAGAACACAGTATAACCAGAACAAGCCCTCTACCAGTGAAATTCATATTCTAGGAGGGAAAGGCTGTACCACTTAATAACCAAGTAAGTTCTATAGCATGTTAACTGGTGATAAATGCTGAAGAGAAAGAATAAGGCGGGCAAGAACAGTATGAGGTACACAGATGGGGGGCTGGGGTGTGGCTCCATTATACAGCACTTGCCCAGTGTGCACGAATCCCTGGGCTTGGTCTCCACCACCCCCCCAAAAAAAGGAAAAGAAAAGGGAAGAGAAAAGAGCTGGCACAGTGGCACATGCCTATAATCCCAGTGCTTTGGAAGCCTGAGGCAAGAAGATCGCAAGTGCGAGCCTATTCTGGACAATTTAGCAGCTTAGCAAGACTGTCTTCCAAAATAAATAAATTAAGGGCTGGGGATATACGTCAGTGTGAAGACCCTGAGTTCAATCCCAGTACCATAAAATTAATTAAATTTTTAAAACCAAAGGAAAGAAAAGAAAAAGGATAATAGAGCAAAATTTAGATATAGATTGGTCAGGAAAGAGCCCCCTGGGAGATGGATTTCCGAGTTGAAGGAAGTGAGGTCAGCCCCTTCCCACCCCAAGGCCTGTGCTTGTGTTTCTATATACCTACCTGTTGTACCAGATTAATGCTCCCGCTTCCTTCTGACCTTAATTGCTTTGTCAAAGAGTACCATATTTAACTATCAGTGGCTGTCAGAGCACTATAGCCAACATCTTTGACTGATGTCTGCTTTCCCTGCTAAATTAGATGGCCCACAATTTGGTTTTGTTTTCTCCCCATCTCCTGGCATATACCTGGTACCTTGGAGGCTCTCAAACCACAATTCTTAATGGCTGAATGAGTCCATCATAAGAAAAAGGCCAGGGTTAGTGACTGGGTCAAGCAAGAAGGCTGTGGCATTAGGATGAAGATTCAGAGAGGAGAGCTGGATTGGGCTAAGGATGGGGCGGTGCAGGGAGTGATGTGAGGCTGGGAGATGAGTTAAGAAAATGGAAGTGGGGTCGGGAGAATGCTGGGGAGGACGCTCCTGGTGACTGGCAGGCTGCCTCATTCCACTGGGCACAATGCCATCCTGAGCTGGGAACAGGAGCTGTCTAGCTGGTCAAGCCCGCCCTCCTGGACTCTGCTTTAGCCACCTAATGACTCCTGGGGGATGCTCAGAGGCTAGGTATGCAAATATTCATCTCAATATGCAAATTTCATTTAAACTCTCCCATCCTCCTGCTTTCTAGACACTCCCTTATCCTGGAGACTGTGCCCCAGGGGGTTGCTAAGGCTTGGGAAGGAGCAGCGTGGAGGAGGGGGTAATTTGAGGCCCAGAGATTTGGGGAATGGTGCCACCAGGCTCTAGGGAGTACAGGGTCTTAGGGCATTTGGGGTGAGGGGTCCAACTTAACCTTTCTGATCCAGTGGTAAGATCACCCTGCGTAGGGGTGAGGAGGAGCAGGGGCACATAGGAGGCCCAGAGGGCTGGTAGAGAGGGCTTTGGGGATACAGAGAGGGGACCAATGTGTAGAAAGCAATGAAGGTGAGCGTAGCTGCTTCCCCCAAAGCCTCTCTGCCTTCCCAGAGCCACTGTTAGCCAATCACTTTCTCAAAAAAGCCAAGTGGCTACTCAGAGTTTGATCAGAGTTCAAGTACGGATTTAGGTTCTTAAGGGAAATAGAGGCGGATGTGGGCCATGTGCTGATGTGAGTAGGGCCAGGATTGGGGTTGGGGCCACGGACGGATTAGGCATACGGACATGGACACTCCCCAGTTATGACCCAAACCTGAACACATAACTCTGGGTAGGTGCTCACTGAAGAACTGGTTCTCCTGGACCAGGGGCGGGACCCGGAGAGCCTGAGAGGCCCCTAGCACTGAGGCACGCTTGTAGAGCTGGCTCACAACGCCCACCCACATTGGAAGCCAAGTCCTCACTGCCGGGGAACCCCTTAGCTTGCCCCACCCCGAGGCTTGCAAGGCAGGGAGCAACCCCGGGGGCCCCATCCTCGAGCACACATAATATCAAATAGGGTTATTCCCCGCTTAAAATCCACCAGGGCTTACAATGGCATTGTCCCTAGCGTCGAAGGGCATCTGGCTTTCCAGAAAGTCAGCTTGGAGGGAAGTTTATGAGGCTGACTCACCCAGCCACAGGCAGGACTTCTGCCCTGACTCTGGACACGTCTGGTGATGGAACCAAAGTGTTAGCGTGGACTGTGGCACCGTTCTTCACCCAACACCCTTCTCCGGCTGCCCTTTGCTCCTTGAAGATGTGCCCCTTGCCCTTACCTGTCCTGCTTTGTAACACCTCCCCCTGTGCCATTTCTAGATCATCTCTTTCTTGCCATCTGGGTCTCATCTCTAGCATCATGTGCTCAGAGAGACCTCCCTAGTGCTGCTCCTAGTGTCTTCCTGCCCAGTTGCACAGGAGCACTGCCTGCCTGGCTGTATCTCCTCACTGCCCTCCCCATCATCTGAATGGTTTATCTGTTGAGGTGTTGATGTGATTTTTGCCTCTCTCCACCTCCTGGAAGCAAACAGAACCAAGGGTCTTGCGTTGGGAGTTCACAGCCACTTTCCCAAAGTCAAGAACAGACTCAGAGGACTGGGGAAATAGCTCAGTGGCATAGTACCTGCCTAGCGAGTGCAAGGTCACGAGTTTGATTCCCGGTACCAAAAAAAAAAAAAAAAGAGGTTAAAAACAGACTTGGAGACAGGAATGATGACACACATACACCCGAGAATGTCAGTGCAGAAAAGCCCTTTTCAGGTCTTCTTGTCCCTCCCACTTAACTGACAGATTTGGGCCAACAAGATAGAGAACTTATTCAAGGTCTGGCAGGTTGGCAGCTTCTCCACTGTGCCAGTCACCTCTCAGATGATGGAAAAGCCCAGAGAGGTCCAGGCCACGTGCTCTGACAGGGCTGCAGCAGCCCGACAGGAGCCTTTGTCCACATCCCATCACCGGATGTGTCCAGAGTCAGGGCAGAAGTCCTACTTGTGGCTGGGTGTGTCATCCTCATAAATTTCCCTCCAAGCTGACTTTCTGGAAAACCAGATGCCAATGATTTGCCCTGCCCTCTCTGGCTCGGGAGCATTTTTTAGGATAAGCATTCTTCTAATGGAATCTTCGTGCAGAACAACCACTCATCGTTTAGCCAAGACAGGCTACCTAAGCAGTGCCCTGCTCAAGGCTGGAGTTTCTAAAGGGGTCCGTGTTTCCAGCCTTGGCCACAGCCCAGATGGCCACAAGGGGGCGCCTCTGAGTACCTCCTAATCCTTTGCTTTTGTTCTAAGTTAAATTCTCATCTGCAGACGGAAGATTCCTAAAAACATCTTTTACTGCGCAGTGATCTGGGCATTCTCTTCTTCTAGAGTCACAGATGCAGAAAGTGACAATCTAACCTCTGGCATAGCCAAAGACAGTCCCCTAACCCACATAGACACTTACTGCCTCTAAGGGAGGAGCTTGAACAGGGAGAAGATTCTGGGGAATAATGATGGGCCATGTGTTTTCCTGAGTCCGAGGAACGGTGGCTGCTCCAAACCATCAGCATGGCAGGGCCTCTCAGAGAGCGGTTCAGTAAGGAAGTGTGGTCAGATCTGGAGCTTTTCCTGAAGTCGCGCTTGTACAGAGAGTGTTTTTGTTTTCTTAGGTGCTGGCAGCCGGGAACTACGCAGCTGGGGACCCCACTGACTGGAGAAGGGACACTGACCATTGAGTGGGCCGAGACCCTGCCCAATCTGACAAAGGCCCTGGCCATGTGATGTTGGGGGGGTGTCACAGGAGGACCCTAAAGCTATATGGTTCCACTGCTACGAGCACCATATGGATGGAGGAACAGTCACCCTGTCAATGTCAAAAGACACTGTGACTTTGGCCAGAGAGAGGCTGTGTCTAAGTTTTGGTGAGACACTGGAAAGCTGTGGAGAGAAAAGATGTGGATGGGCCAACTGAGGGCTGCATGGGTCTCTTTGTTTTGTTTTGTTGAGACAGGGTCTTGCTCTTTTGTTCAGCTTGGCCTTGAGCTTACTATGTAGCCCAGGTTGGCCTCCGATTTGCACTGATCCTCCTGCCTCAGCCTCCCAAGTGCTAGGATTACAGGCGTGAGCCACCATGAAAGTACTTTTATTTTTAGAGGGCTGCCTGGCTAGAAAGGAGGAAATCAGACTCTAGCTCGAGTCAGGAGAAGTGGTAAGGGTGAACAACCCCCAAATCTCAATTGCTTCACCCCATAAAAAGTATGTTTCTTATTCAGTTCCACGCACAGCTCAGCCAGCAAGCCTCAGACACACAGGCTGAAGAAACCATCCAACGCAGCTTCCAGACTGGCGAAGCAGAGAGCACTTGGAGGCGTCTGTGCCAGCCTGGAGACGGCCGCACCCCTTCTGCATATAACTCAGCCCAAACTCATCCTCTGGCTCCACCCACAAGAGGGTCAGGCGTGAGTTTTCTGTGTCCAGGAGTAGAACTGGATTTTAGTGGCAACACTAACAACTACCACACCCTGCAACCAGATTCCGAGGCTTTGAAAAGCGCCAGGTTTTTGTCCTACCGGTCCGGACTTCAGATGCTCCTTCACCTCCTAGGAACAGGCTCCAGGCGGTGAAGGCAAGAACTCAGGGCTCAACCGCGTGGAGGGCTGAGCTAGGGCACTGCTTGTCTCCAGAACACACAAGTGATGGACTCACCACTCCTACCTTCCCGGCACTTCCGCCGCTAACCTTCCCCCCCACACACACACACACGCATCATCAAAACAGAACAATGAAATAGAAGCCAGCTTTTGTAAGCTTTTACTGAAGTCACTGTGTTTGAAGGCAAAAAGAAAAAAAAAAATGAGGTGAGAATAGGGTAGGATGAGAGCTGGAGAGAGAGCCCACATCCATGCCCAGGCCAAGGAGCTTGTCCCCAAGAACCTTAGCTAGATGTCCAGGAGAGCTGGGCTCCAATCCTTCCTCTGCCTTTAGGTGCTAGGGCCAAAGGAGACCTGACAGATCCGGGCATGCATCCCTCTGTGCCCAGTGTCCAGGCTCTTCCGCAGAAGGAAGTTGGGTCGGATGGTCCTAGGCTTAGAGGAGGGAGACTTAAAATGACATGGTAAGTGGAAGTGTGGGAGTGGGAGGGCTGGGAAGGAAAGGCTGGAGCCTCAGGCTGCACATCCCAACCGGAGGAGGTAGATTCTCACAAGAGGCTGGAACAGGAGGTTGCCTAAAGTGGGGTGAGGTGGGTAGAGGTTCTTTTCTTTTTCCAGTGGTCTATTACGGATTCTACTTTAGTCAGTGGCTTTTACCTTGGGCACTGTTCAACTGGTCCCTCACAGCTCAGGGAACAGCTAGAGCCATCTTGGTTGGAAAAGTCCCTACATGTGGAAAGGGAGACTTAGGCTGAGAATAGGGAGGAGGGAAGTGTCTGGGAAACCCTGAGAGTCTGGCCTTCCTCGTGCTTGGCCCTTTGGTCTGAAGCGGAGGTTAGATGGAAACGCTGTTCTCAATGAGGGGAGGGTCCAGGTAGGCATAAGGCAGCTCCAGGCTCTGGTTCCGCTTCCTGATGTCTCTCGAGATCTGGGCCAAGTGGTTCTGGAAGGCGGCGATGCTCCGCTGTGGCACTTCCTCTGTAAAGTGCTGATCCGGGTAGGTGCCCAGAGGCCTCTGGGAGAAAATCCAGTGGGAGGTCAGGGTGATGTGCAAAATGGGATAGAGAATAATGAGGGACGGTGGATGGCAGCAAATATAATCAAGGTGGCTTCGAAAGGCATGACCCAGCCACACCCACTAAACTCACACCCCCAGTCTACCGTTCCATGCAGTCTGAGGGACAGCAGTCCCTCAACATCCAAAGCCACACAGCACAGAGGAAAGGGTGTGGCTTGGGAACAGCCAACCTAAATTCAGCGCTCCCTTTGCTCACAGTCATTTGTGTTACTGTGACTCCTTGAAAACTCAGTTCCTGCACCTGGAAGTAGACAGATTGAACCGGAAAATCTTTGAAGTCCCTTTCTAGTGCCTAATCTACACTCTGAACTCAAAGAACACAATCGCACTCATCCACAGCTGACACTAACACAGACGCTTAGCAAATATAGCAAATAGGCCCAGGAATACAGCTATTACCTCACCATTTCACCAAATTCAACCCCTGAGGACAGCCAGTGGCTGGTTCTGAGGCATCTTCCAATCAGCTGTATAATCAGCCTTGCCAGCACGGTCACCCTCACCATAACAGTCACACTGCACAGCACAGCCAACCACAACCAACACATGGCACAATTAACTTCAGTTGAGGGGCTGGGGATTTAGCTCAGCGGCAAAGCGCCTGCCTGGCAAGCACAAGGTCGTGAGTTCGGTTCCCGGTACCGGAGAAAAACCAAAAAACCAAAACAAACAAACAAAAAAAACTTCAGTTGACGCTGTCCTACATGCAAGAATGTCCCGCTCTCATGATCACATCACACAGTTACTCCACAGGCCCTGCTTCCTAACCAGCACATCTTTTCCATCTAATATAATCTTCATGTAATACAGCTGGTATCAAGTCTATTGATTTCTTTTTGTTTTTGTTTTGTTTTGTTTGAGACAAGGTCTTGCTATGTAGCCCAGGTTGGCATGGAACCCACAGCGATCCTCCTGCCTCAGCCTCCCAAGTGCTGGGATTACGGGCATGTGCCACCATGCCCAGCTGGACTGCTGATGTTTTAAAAATTGGTGTCTTGTGCTATCAGATTGGCAGAGCCCTTTAGAACAATGTTCAATAATTGTACTAAGAGTAGGTACTTTTTTCTTGTCCCTGATTTTCTCGAAGAGACCATCCATGTCTTTTATTTTCCCCTCCATGGTGCTAAGGGTGGAAGCCAGGGCCTCACACATGCTAGGCAATTGTTCTACTGTACCACTGAGCTGCACTCCCAGCCCCAGTATTGTCTTAAAAATATACTTCTATCAAAAGTCCTTCAGGGGCTTTCATTTCACACTGAGTTTTTATTAGTAATGACTGTTCATGCCAATCAAATGCTTCTCCATCACATACCAGAATGATTATATAGTATCTTTCTTTATTGGTGTAATGAATTATATTGCTAGATTTCATAAGTTTGAACCAACCTTTCATTTCTAGACTAAACTACACTTCTTCATGGCACATTATTATTTTACTATACAATATTGGCCTTCACTGGCTGATTCACTTATTTCTTCGTTTTTGTTTTTTTTGTTTTTGTTTTGTTTTTGTTTTTTCTGAGACAGGGTCTCACTAT